GTCATTCCGTGGGACCAACTTTTGAATACCTGTGTCGTAGAAGTCTGCCGCCTGGGATTGGAACCACTGTGTGACAGCCATCTCCGCCTCTCTGTCATTCTCAAAACGCTGACGCTGACGCTGACCGGACAGGAATTTCTTGAGGTGTAGGAAAAGATGGAAATCACTGGGAGCGAGGTCCGGGCTGTAGGGTGAATGATTAAACACCTCCCAGCTGAACTCCTGCAGGAGACTTGCTGTCCGTCGAGCCGTGTGCGGCTTAGCGTTATCACTGACCGCACTTCACAGTCGGCGGGAGCTGGAATAAGAACCTCCATCTTCAACAGCTGCAACGATGCTACTGTGAGAACGCGGGAGGTGCCGTTAGTGCATGCGCCATGTTACGTCATTGCTCTATCACGTACGCACAGTCGCTTCGCGCAATATAAGGTTTGCTAGCTGTGGGACTAGTGGGAAACTTACTTTGTGGACGCACCTCGTAGATACCGTAAATATGCGAGTAACGCATGTTACAGTTGTGTCTTTGTAATGTAGTTTTATGCACTGACTACCCCTTCTATAGATGTTGCTTCCTGTAGGGTAGACAGAGGTTACATCAGTATGGTGGAGGGAGTGATGTTCCTCAGCCAGAATATGAAGCCTGGAGAGCTGAGAGAAATCGCATTGATAGAGATCGCATCAGTCGTCAGAAAACTGCAGAGGGACGTTGGCGTCGTGAGTGGGATAATGAAAAGATAACACAGGAGTAAGTAAATTTATTTTATTGTGGTTGTAACAAAAGACTGCACCTTATTAACTAACAAGGTCCTCCTTCGATCAGATTATAATTGTTCAGCTGATCTGCATCTTAAGATTTCTCAACGTCATCACAAAACCAATTATTGTATCTTGTCTTGAACCATTTCAGTACAGTGTAAACCTTCACAGCTTATCTGTCTAAGATGAGTCCACTTTAATGTTTCACTTCTATCTATAGCTACATATCTCGGATGGTTTCTCTCCGTGAGGTTTACGTACACTTGTATGCTTTGGTCCTGTTTGGCAGTTTTTTGCTGTTCTGTGTGGGATTATTTTCATTGGTTGAGGCAGGAACCATATTTATACCTAGCATCACATGGTATAGAAAGGTTTTCATGTTTGAAAAATTTCAATAGAGTTGTATTTGATTCATAGTTGAATCTCGTTTGTCCAATGTTGTGCGAGTCCTTACATTATGAATATCTTGTTTTTGTTTATAAGGGGTTACCATGGTAATGATTTTGAAAACTTGTTATATAATTATGTATAAGAGGCTAGAAATAATCCTGTAACTGAAGCATCTGTTTCTGTTATGTGTGAATTTCATGGTTTATGTAACAAGGAATAAAAATAATGAAAGGCTGTTCATAGTTCTTGTGCAGTCTAGATAAGAGCTGTCCAGGTGTTTCCCTATTGGACATATCAGTGGATGATTGTGATGAGAGGGGCATAAACCAGAATTCTGCAATTGGTATATAGAACATGCCTCTCCATGACAAGAAAAATTTGTTGGGGTGTGTAGTGCACATCCATTTTATTAATTATAAAGTAATGCGGGGATGAAGACTAGATAACTTATACCACTTTAAACATCGTATTTGGTTGAATTTGTTTCCTACATAGCAAATATGGTGATTCCATGGAGTGTTGTGTATTTCTCATTCATTTTTGTACAGGGAGGAAGATGTCAGACCAACAACTAGAATGTCAAGAGGTGGTGGATTTGACAGGAGTGATTCTGACTGCAGTTCTTATCATGATTATAGAGCACATACAACTCAAAACTGTAAGCATATTTTAGTGGTTATCACTAGGTTTCATTAGTCCCCAAACAAATGCTTGTGTAGCTCATTAATCCTTTCAAGATGCTGTTTTATGCCTAATGTTATCACTGCAAGTCACCTCCATAGTGCATGGCACTTTTCCAAGTAGCTTCATACTGCTCTTGTGAGAATTTTTTTTTTAGAGATTCATGTGTTGTGTTAGAATATGACGTTTATACTTGGTGCTGATACATAAACTGGGTATGCAGTACCAGTATGGACATAATATTTAGTGGAGTCAGTGTTGCCTGACAGTCCTTGCTTTCTTTACAGGTGTGAGGTCTGGAGAAAATGCATTGTCTGGACCATTCCAGGTATCAGAAAGGAGTGGAGGAGGTCATGGTGTATCACGTGGAAACAGAGGCAACGTACATACCTGGCGACACAATCAACCTCAGACCCAACCAATTCATGGTACATCTTTATTGGCACAATTTTTGAGACTGTGAATGAAATGTGTGATTTGATGTCTGCTCTCCTTCCACCATCTGAAACAGTTCTTGCCATGTGTTCTACATGTTTTGCCTATCTCATACTCATTAATTTGATCATGCTACTAATATTTGGTAAAAAGTTTCAATTATTGTATATTATATTAAGTTATACAATTTTCTTCAGACTCATATGACATCCCTTTCCTGGGTCCAGTCTCCACAGGAATCTGTTGTCATCCTTCTTCCCTTCATCATTATCCGAAGAATTGGAGACCAAGAATCTTTATTGAACATTTTTGTGGGAGACAGTGGCTTTGAAACTGAATTATGATAAATGTTGACAGGAGGAAAATTGTCATTTGCTTGATGGGGACTAGAAACAAATCCTTAATGTGAGGGAAAAAGATAAGTCTCAAGAGCATTTGGAGCATCTGACAATATGGTACATGAATAAACATTAAAATATAGACCATACAGAAGAAGAGACATGCTTGGTGTTGCATTTAATAACTTTTCTGTTAATAATATTGTCAGTGGTAGATCTGTCTCCAGCGGATGAACATTAATGCAGTGTACAGAAATTTAAAATCAGAACAAAGATATATGAAACTGTATGTATTCTTCAAATTAATTTTGTGTATAATTTGAAGTCTGAAAATTTTCTGCATTCATGTTATTTTCTTTCCCTGTAAGAAAATGTAATGTTGTATTGGTTCCTATTTTTCAATATTGGATAATATTTATATCTTCCTTTCATGGACTGTCATGTTATGTCTTTAATGACTTTTCTGCTAGCATTTGTTACATTTTATTTATACTTATTTATTCCTAAATTTCAGATGACAAGGAAAAGAGCACTGTTGTTTCTCACAGTGAGCGCAATGTGGTCACTGTAGGAGAGTCAATGAAGATCTGTGTTCGCAACAGTTCTCCTGCACCTCCAGTCAGGAGGGTCAGAGGTTTGTAGACCTTAGGAAATTGCAAGAGAATGAATCTTAAGATATTGCAGCATCTCTTGTGCATGGACGGCAGTAAGGTTCATAAAAGAGCATAAGTACAGTGTAAGACTGTAATCTTGAGACTTGCAGGGTGAAGGAGGAAGGAGGAAAGATAGCATCAGCCTTTAACGCTTCGGACTTCCTGCATTCCTTGCAAGTCTCAAGATTAAATTCGCTTACTATAATGATGTCAGATGAATGATCATTTGGGAGACCAAGTGAAAGATGATATGAAAGACAGTACAGAAAAAATGGGCTCAGATACAAGGGCAATTTAATATGAGGATGGAGAAGAATGAAGTAGGTTTATAAGATGACCTGAGATGGTTGAAACATTAATAAATTATGATCATTTTACCAGTATGAAATATAGTTGGATCTGTTATGGGTGTAGAAAGCAGAATTTTTTCTTTAAGATGTTTTCTTTTACTTAGATAAAATTTTAGATTGTGGGGAATCCTTTCAGAGCTCATTCGTGCATTTTCTTACATCTCAGATGTTTCTTGTGCCATTCACAAAGATAAGAGGTGAATTGAAGGTGTAAAAGGTTATTTAAATAGTAGTTGAAAAGTATGTAATTTGCTATCCATCACATGAAATTCATTTCATCTGTTAATGCTTTTGCTGTTGACCAAAAATTTGGATTTTCTGCTGTGTTTGCTAGCGACAGTAAAAACCTGTGCTTTTGCATTTTACCTTCTTTCGCTTCTCATGAAATCAGTGCCCACCAGTGAGAGCAATAAAACAGATAATTTCCTGCTTTCATATGAAGATTTTGATATGGCACTGCTTAGCTTATCCATGTAGTTCAAGAGAAATCTCAGTTTAAACATGTGCTTTGTGGGGTAACTTCTCCAAACCACAAGCTGTCTTGTCAGAAACATACAAAAGAGTTTATCTTCCCTCATATTTTTTTTTATTTTGTCATAGAAATCTGTAATTTTCAGTTATGATCGTATACCTGTGTTGACCTATTGCAGTTAACATTCCGGTAGTTGCTGGCACAGGTCGGGTAGGACCTCGGCAGAGGCTCCGCATCAGTTACAGCAGCCAGTCGGAGGATGAAGCCCCATTTCGTAGAATAGCAGTACAGTCCAACAGAGCTTCCAGTAATGATGAGGTGCCTCCAGATTCCAACAGTACTCATTCTACAGCATCTTCTGCTGTATCAAAGCCACCATTGCCTCCTACAGGAATGAAACTAAATCCCAAAACAAAAAAACTGCATTTTAAGAAACCAGAACAAGACACTAAGTTGAGAAAACAAAGAGTGAAGAAAGAGATTGATAGTACAGAATTATCTAAATGTATGAGCACAAAGGAAGGAGAAGTAACAATGGTGAAAGTGGAAGATTGTCAGAAGGACATTGAATCAGGTGGTGATGATTCATGGGAAGATGTCACTGCAAGTGGAAATGAAAGTGCATGTGAAGAATTATCACCATGCAGTAATACTGACTCCACATTAGATATCAAGACAACCGAATTGAAATGTGGGATGCTTCACACTTTAGATGTGAAATCAGAGTTCCTTCAGAACACAGAATTGAAGTTGGGCTTACCTTATAAAACAGAAGTGGAGTCAGGGATGCTTCTGAATACAGAAGTAAAGGTGGAGATGCCTCATGCAGATAGAAATAATCCAAATATTGAATCAAATTATTCTATAGAGGTCTCACAGATAATTACAGATGGTAAAGTTCCTGAGACTGTTGTGTCTGAAAGAAGTACAGAATGCAATGAACACAAGGATATTACAGAAATTTACTTCGACAAATCTCATTCAAATATGTTAGTTGAAACTAAGAAAGGAAATGTTAATCAAACTAAAGAATTAGAGGAGAAGGAAAATATAAAGAGCAAAGAAAAGATGCTGGAAGGAGGAACCAAAATAGAATTGAAGAATGGATGTAGGCAGGATGAAGCAGTAGGAGAAGCAGAAGTTATTCAAACTACCGAAAGTGAAACATTGTCAGACGGTGCAGCAGAAAACTGTATGCTTGACGAAAAGCAGAAACTTGTCTAATATTTAGCTGAAGTTAAGTTGGAAGTGTTTGCTTAGATGGAGAAGGTAAGACAAAACTGCTTGCTCCGTTATTAACATGGTGAGGTTTGAGGTTCTCACAGCGCAATAACCCAGAAGACGGATATCTTCATGGTGAGGTTTGGTTACATGGTTGCTAATGAGCATCACCAAATATGTGTTTTTATGAATTAAAATGTAGAGGCAATAACAGTGAACATAATTTTTTTGCTGTGTGTACATTTCTCATGTTGTCCTGTATCTTTATATGTGGATGTGATCAAAAAATTGTCAAAAGGAAGTTATTTATTTTCACCAAAATGCATTTCAGACTGCAGATGCTGTGATGGATGTCTTGTAGGAAGGCCAATTCAGTTTAGAGACAAAACTTAGAGGTTTTATTCTGGTGTGGAATAAATATATTTATAAACCTGTTGCAGTTGTCACCAATTTCAAGAAGAGGAAAAAGAAATTATTTGTATTTGACGTTTCCTTCTTATGTAGGAAGAAAAACTTTGTACCACCTCCATCTTTAGGGTGCAAGATTGCATGACAGTTGACAAAGGTGGCCCTTACAAGGAACTTTTCATTTGCAGTGGTTTCATGTCTGTGTATCCACCTGTGATATGTACCATTAAAAGTAAAGCTCAACCACTATACACCATGGAGGCACTGAAGTGAGAGGAGGTACAGCTCATACTCATTTTTGACCTTGGCACTAGATGTGGGGAGGGCAGGTGGTCAGCTCATGCCTCGGTTACACTTTATTCCTTGGGAAAGGACTTTGAGTACCATTTGTTAGAAAGGTGGGTGGGACCCAGAGTTGGTCTAGATGCAGAGGGTAGAAGAAAAATCCTTTCCTCCTGCCAGGGATTGAACCCTGATCATGCAGTCTGTAATCAGAAGTGAAATTTTCTGAGCTGAGGTATTTATCATTGCAGTTATAAGGAATAGCCACATTTAATGGAGTCCTTCCTTTTTACCTAAAGATGATGACAGATGCTTTTGTATCAATGAGCCTAGTGATCAAGAATAGCTGTAACAGTTCTTAGTAGGTACCCTTTCTTCATACCTAAGAATGGAGACACAACCTTATCTCCAAAACCTGTGTCACAGGTGCTATGTGTAGGTGTGCTTTCCTTTAGCCTGAACATTGAGACAATCTATTGTCTGTTATCATTAGATCTGGTAATGGCTTCCACAAAAGGACACCAGAGAGTACTGTTTCTTGTACCTGAAGAAGCAGACATTGTCAGCATTTTCTAGATACTGTTATGTATTTATGGTGTAACATGTATTTTATGTATGATTAATATGACAATTTATTCTCGATAATTTATATCAGTCTGTAGGATGAAAGTGACGTTTGTGTGTGTTGTGTAGCAATGGGGATGGCAGTCTAGGTACGAACATAGAATAAATATCTATTTAACATTACTGTTAATATTTGTATCATTCTTTCAATTCTGTGAAATAGTGACTCAGTCGCCTTACCCAATGGATTTCATATTCTTAAAATGTATGGTAGTTCTGAAATTTGTGTAATGATATGATTACAAGATGTCCAAGAATTCCTAAGGGTATTCAGCACTGAAATTATCAGTATTATTATAACTAATTAAATTTTATTATACTACAAAATTTTAAACATTACTTTCACACCAAGAAATGCAAGATATTTCTAGTAATATTGTTCACAAAGTAAAAATTTCTGTGTTAGCTATTATGGATTATGTTCAATTTTTAAGCAATTCTGTTCATTCTATTTCCCAGCAAATTACTGCTCTTCTTTTAGCCAAGCACAGTAGTTGGTTACAAAAGTTTGGCAAGTTTGTCTTATGAAAAGCATTTAAATAAAATGTGCATAATGGTCAACTGAAAAGGTTGTTTTAGCAGTAATATATGTGATTTATGTCAAGGTAGCTGATTCACATTAAGGAGACTTATAATTTCAGGAAAGTGGTGGCCAGGGTTTGGTTACGAATAGGGTCAGGAATTATTATTGCCATTGCATTCAACATGTTCTGAGGCATATCTATCCTATTGTGCTCTTTCTCTAACAGTAAGGGCTGGATCATGAAGCAGACCTTGACTTCTTGTGCCAGTTTACAGAATGTGTGGAGTTCACAATAAAGTATTATTTATTTAGTCAATGGCAAATTTGCTGTCTAACCATGAGGTTAGGTTAGGCTAGTGATATGCTGGTGATGAGGATATTTGTAATGGCGTTACTATCGTCCTGCCTCACGACCTTGAGCATTCGTCATGTTGATGGTAACAGTTGTAGGAATTTAGAAATCAAGAGTTTGGAGTAGTCTACGATGGCATAACATACATAAGAAAATAACGAATATTCGTCCAACAGTTTCTAGTTTTTGAATACACGTGGGCAGAATATCATGCTCAATTGCATCATGGGATTTTAATCTTTGGTTAGATACTAGAACCGCAGTTTCGGTGCATATTTTCCACAAAGCGGTATTAAGACTTAGAATTTAGTAATGTTGTATAACAAAAAATAAAAAAAAATTGTCTTTGGTTTACTGTACTCCCTTCTGTAGTATTACTCCATGTCTGTGTGTTTCTTCTTAATCTAACATGGCGTATTCAGTGAATATATCTGTTGAAGCTCCAATTGAAAATCAGATTCAAGAAATTACGTACGATGGACAAGAAATTTATCAGTCGTAAGTAATAGATACTAATTTTGTTGTTCTATATCTTTCTTTATCTGAAAGGGTAAAAGGCTACCATGGCTAGAATTTTTGAATTGATTTATATTTGGTGCAGAGGTTAAGAATGCATTTTCATAAGTTGTGTTCTCTCCAGCTACTGGCAGCGTAAATAAATGTATGAGATCTACGTCATCCTAACCTGGCACAAAACTCATTCTCCTGGTTTAGTAGTATCTGTTTAAATTCTGTTTTCTGCTTCTTGTGAAATAAAATTTGTTCTTGCTGTAACTTCATCGATTTCAAGTATTTTTCATCAGCTTTTCCATTTAAAGCCATACAGTTAAATTGATTACAGTAATGATGATGATGATACTGTTTAATTACTTTTGATGCTTTTATTGTAGAATATTTTAGTGTTTTTTTTTAATATTTCAGACCGTTGTCAATGTCAGAGAGTCTTGCTAAACTTGCCCAAAAGATAGATTTCAGTAAAGCAAGTACAGAAGACATAATAAAGGAAACTGGAGAACAAGACAAGACTGATGATGATTCAACAACAAAGGAAGCTGCTACATTCCAGTCATCTCTGTGGCCATGGGACTCTGTTAGGAATAAGCTAAGGTAAATTAAACAAGCTGTTTTCATGAGCAACAGTAAATAAAAATAGGCAGAAGTAAACAGATTGAAGTCTATTTTAGTCCTGAATTTTGTATGTATGCTGCAAATAAACTGTGTTAATAACTTGCTGCATACATTATTTATTTTTGAATATTCACGTTAAAGTGATAACCTAACACTGCATGGAACACATCAATTTCTCCTTTAGGTCTAGTACCATAAACTATTAATCTAGAATAGCACTAGTAATTTTACAGTTTCTTTAATTACACTGGTTCATCTGCAAAGGTTATGCAGTGTCATTTAGAAATGAAAGGATGATTACTTTTAGTGGGTTGGTTGGATGGTGGAACAGGGGTCTTGGCCCATTTTAAGTTGTAGTTTCATGAATTCAAACAGTATTAGAATTCTGTTGTTGTGAATAAAGTTACAAATTTTTCTTTTCTAGCATTGTGTCTTCACCACATTTGCCTAATTTTGATGTTCCTGAAACAGGAAGCATTTCTGAAAGGATTAATTTTAAATGATATATTTTTTTAGACCTTTTAAACAACCACAAAATGGTCACTTTATATGACTGTGTTTCTCAACAGAAATGCACTGACAGAGGTGTGTGTTCTCGCAGATGTTCTTGCAATTGCAAAAGAGAAACGATACATTGTGTTAGATCAAGTTCCTCAGGAGGCTTTGGAGACCAAACCAATGGTTCAGGTGTATGCACGCAAAAAGGTAATTAATTATATGAGATATGAAGTTTTCATGGCAGTGAAGATGCCAGTGTTTTAGTCTTCTGGGTTGTAACTAGGTAGATACCAACAATTTTGAGAAACGCTCTCTCAGTTGGCCCTGTCTCCTTCGCTCTGAAGATTGAGACAGTGTATTTCTCTGAAATGTTGAAATGTTTCACAATTCCTCAGTGTTAGAACCCAGAAGAACAACATCATCAAAATGGTAATTGTTTGTTTATGTTTGACACTGTTTGTTGTGTGTTATTTAATGAGGCTGTTTCAGTTGTTGAGTTCATGTGACATGAAATTACATGGTAGAATAATTGTGAATAATGAATACAGCAGGTGAGGGGAAGTGATCATGCTCTGTTATAAGGTGGTATCCCAAATGAGAAAGATAATGAAAAGGAGGGAAAGGTGAAGGAAATTTTCTATATTTCTAGTATTTGGTTGTGGAACCTAAAGGTGGCGACTGACTTGTAACATTTGCCTGTAATGTAACATTCGCGGCGAGCATGTTACATTACACCACAACTGGTGTGGCGTATTGAATGCTCGTTTTGAACGCTCGGCTCGACTGTGCTCATGTGTGCTCCATTCATTTCATTCAATATGTCGGACGTGGAGGTTGTGTTGTCTTTGTTTCATTTAATACGCTACTCTTATCTAAAGAACTCGTGAATGCTCGTTACGACGCCGCTCGACTGACTGACTGACTGACTTGTATTAAAAAAAATCTGTGTACAAGGTCTAGAATGCTTGTCTGTTAGGTTTGACAGTTTAGCTGGAGGACAAATTGAGGTAAATAATTATTATGATGTCTAATATTGATGTTGATAAAATTCTGGAAGACCACATGAAAGCACATTGGATTTGTAGTTTGTTTGTTTGTTCTTGTGATCTGCATATCTTGACAGTTTGAAATTGATGGTCAGACAGACTAATATGGCTTATATTTGACTGTGGGAGGAAGACAAGAGACAGAGAAACTAAAAGTGTTTTGCACTAGATAAACATTTTACATGTTACATTGAATAATTTTTCTACTTAATAAGGCATGATCTAGATATCATACAGCTCTTGTACATAAATGATTTTAGGCCTTGGCAGGTGCAGCTGCCGTTCTTTTGGCAGGAGCAGAGAGACTGCGAGCCTCACAGAATGAATTGGCACGCAATCGAACCACACCTGATTTCCACATCGAGCTGCTTCGTCTGCGTCAGAACTGGAGGCTCAAGAAAGTTTCTAATTCAATCATTGGTGATCTGAGTTACAGGACAGGTATGGTTTCCTTCAATCACAGAATGCTGTTGAATTGTTTCTTCTTTTCATAGTTTTATAATCTTTATAAAGGAAACACAGAATGGGAGGTCATATCTATCTGTCTTTCATTTCACTTAATCGGTTTTCATAATATAATTTGTTATGTAGGAAGATGGTATCTATATTAAAAGTTTTGGGATGGATTTAAGTCTATGTTGATCTTGTCCTACTTTGTAACTTATCTTAAAAA